TGATTCGAGTTCGTGGCGCGGCAGCCACGTGAAGTGCCACGAAAACTTCTTTAAAATGCAAATAGTTTTCCATTTTACGGCTTTTCTTTGTCGGAGTTGTAGTTTTCGTTTGTTTTTTGTTTACTTTCTTCAGGCAATCACTTTCATATCGTCGTTGGTTTGGCTGGTGTCTTGAAGTGAAGGACGACAAAGCATGGAACGGATATCCTTAAAGGCGGTAACCCAGCCAGTTGGGTGGGTCGTTGTATATGTGATTTTAATAACCACTTCGTCGGGTACACTTTTGCTTTTCCTAAACTCAACAATCAACTCATAGTTCTTGTGCTTTCCTTCGTCGAATTATTTATTGTATTTGCATACCATATTGGCAAGGTACTCAACTTAAAACGGTCGAAGTTAGCGCACCTATTGACGCATTATGATTGCCCGCCACACCAAAACGGATGTCTACTAAGTGCTCTGCAACGTATAAGTTTGAATATATCATAAAAAGTCAAGGATGGCTTCATTGTCAGGCTTCTTTTCAGCTATTTACGCGACGCAGAAGATGTTAAGTTTCCTTTATGTATTCATGTAGGACTGTGAATACATAATCGCATTGAGCGATTTAAGTGGGTATGAGATAAGCCTTGCAGTATTAGTCCTTAAGGCGATAACTTAATTTTGATGTATTTTTCTTTTAATTGAAAAATGCATATGCGTTTATGATAGATCACACTAGTATGTGAGGTAAAATATTTCACTGTCAACCTTAATAAATGTAGGCATTTCAAACACCACAGAAGCGTAGTTAAAGGGAATGCCTTCAGTATTTAGCTGATTCTTATTTATAAATAAATAAAATAATAAGAATAATGTAATGTAATATATAATTTTTAATTTATGTAGAAGCTATTTGCACTTGAGCACTTTTACTCTTTCTTATCTCGAGGTATCTTCAAAACCCCTCTTTACACCTTGACTGGATTATTGTTTATTACTTCATCAGACTAAGCAATAATTGACCTTAAATCTGCATACTTCCCCGAGGAGCCTGTAACCATTTTGAGATTTGATGACGCGGTGTTGGTAAGTCTGTTAGTTTTCGCAAATAATTTCAGGGCTCTATTCTTTATGTATTTTTTAATCGGATCAATCTTGTGGTCCCTGAGGATGTCATTCGTCGTAATTTACCATGGTGCCTTAAAAAGTCTTCTCAGAGCCTGGCTTTGTGCAATTTCTAGCTGGCGAATAGTAATATACAATAGTACCTTTTAAGTTTTTAGAAAAATGCATGCATAATCAAACTATCCTTTATTCTAATAAGCCCAACGTATTCTTTAGAATCATTTATAATAGAGTACATAAGTATTTATATTAATATTTATGTACATATGTCTTCTTTTTTGATTTTAGTATGTAATAATTCAGTAACGACTTACTAAAGTCTAACCTGTGTAGATACTAGGTGAGCTTCGATAGCTTTACAATTAAGACCTTTTCATACAAATAATGTCAATCTAGATAATCTAGATAACAAGTGAAATAATATTTATCGACATCCTAAGTACGATGAAGCAACTTTCAAATAATAAATAAATAATAATAAATGCTACTAACTGTGTTATGTATATTACGGATTAGTCGATTTGGTTATAGTTAACACTTTTACTTTTTCCCTACATGAGCCTATTTTATCGACACTGGGAAATACCTTGCAATCTACATCAATTTTTATTGTTAAACCGCCTGTTTTGTTTAATGTATGATAGATGGAATATAGGCGAATTTTCGCTCTGTCACTCAAATTCCCCTAAGTGGAGCTAAATATTGCTGATACGGATAACTATTGTTCTAAATAGCTTAAATAATCTCACCTCAATGTTTCAATAGAAGGATCTTTATATACATCACTATTTCTTTCTGATATACCGGAGAATTTTGAATATCTTTCTAAGCGCGATGTCTTGCCAATCTTGAAAAGTGGATGTAAGTACCTTACTAAAGATGGATTGACTACTTAAAGAATCTACTTTTCTGGTTTATTTTTTGCTTTTGAAAAGTAACTAAAGCTGATTAAGAGAGTGTGTAGAAATCGCCTTCGTTACCTTGATGTTTTGTTCCCAAAGTTTCATGTTAACAAAAAACAGACACAGACATTGAATCATTCTCATATGATCCATTTTTCGAAATGTGAAGCTTTAGTGAATCTCTAAAACTTTATTAATTATAGAAAACGGAAATGCAATATTTATTTAAATACAATGATAGTTCTGGCTTTTATGAATAAACTTTAGGAAAACTTACATAAATAAACTTTAGGAAAAGTCATTTAGAAAAGAAAAGCTATTTATGAATCTGAAGAATCACTGAAGTGGACCATTTTCCTTGCAGATAGCGCATCTGTTTGAATTGTCGTATGATTAGAAATAAGCCTTTGCTTTGTATGCGTTAGAAATTGTTTGCAGTAACAAGCAGATTGACAAGAGGTGGTTATCATTAATATATCATGCAAAGTACATTAAATAAATTCGCTGGGAGGTAACGATACTCAACTCTACAGATCACAGATCACAATTTTTGGACTTTTGCTATTACTTATCAACCACCGATTGATAATCCAGTTACCATTTAGAGAAGATGATTGAATTTAAATGAAAAGGTCATTTGTTTCAAAAAGGTACTCTCCTTTATTGAAATTCAAATACAAGTAAGTTTTTTAAAATATATTTACTATTATTTTTTTAACACAAAGTTTGTTTAACACATCAAATTACATTGCAGTTTTAGTATATAAGCAAAACAAGTCAAAGAGTCCTTGCAGCCCGGCTTATCCTCTCCACATAGTTAAAACTCTTCGATTATAACGATAAGCATTATCGTTTACCGTGAATATTATAAAAAATAATAGAAGTTTAAACGATTTTAATTTTAAGAACTTCATTCCATGAATTATGGAAAGTGTACTTTTTCCGAAGAAACCCATTTGAAGACTGCAATAAATTCTACGTCTTCACACCTTAAATATGATATTTATTCATAATATTTTTATGAACAAATTTTTCGTGATCATATGATATAGGTATATAAAAGTAATAAATTTTAAATTAGCGGAACTAATGAAGTACGAGTATTATGGGTGAAAAAAATTAATGACATTAATTATAAGAAAGTATTCCAATCCCAGTCTGTTAATATAGGTAACTTTTAATTTACTTTTTATTTAGGTTATTAATTTACTTTTTAGATAATTTTTTTTCTATTAGAAAAATAATGTCAGCGCCTCTGATTTATTCTACGTAAAGTATTTCGCGTGCCAGGTTTGCCCATGTCGGTGAGCAATAAAAATTTCTTATCGCATATCACTGAATTATTCATAAAATTAAATAAAATTTTTTAAAAATAGCTTAAAGGAAATATCGTTGTTGAAAAAGATTTATGAGTATGTTAGCAAAAAGCTGAAGGCAGTGCATATATGAAGACGGAAGGTGACAATAGATCAAATGACCTTCTTAAAAAAATATTTAAGTTGGTAAAGAATGAAGTATTATCCTTAAGGAAGAAAAATAAAAATCGTAAAACTCGTAATGTTAAAAACTCCTGATTTGACAGCACTGTGTGTCATTGACATATGTTAAATAGAACGGTTATCAAAGGCGACATATGCTTAGTTTAAAGTTCGTGCGTTATACATATTATAGCATGGGTAATGCATTTTGTAGAAAATACGTTGAGACAGAGTTTAAATCTTTTTTCAATGATAGGACTCAGTAATTCACTTAATGCATACATTAACAATCAATATTAGGGCCTCTGTACAGTGGAATTTACAAATAACTATCGAAAGATCATTATATCCACAAGAATCTATTTTATGCTACAATTTGAAATTTGGTCTGGATGTGTGTCAATTCCGTAATTCTTTAAAAATGAGGAATTTTTTTTAGTGTAGCATTGAAGATATAGTTATGGAAGATATATGGTTTCCATACGTCAGTGGCACAAGTCACACAATTTCTCTTGATTTGACTTCATTTGTCTGAAATTTTTTAGACATGTTAATTCATGTTCTGGTGTTCTGAATTGGATACCAAGATTTACGATTTATCACCACTGGGTTTTTGATGAAATCTCATAAAAGATCCTGCTTTGCAGACAAGTCACAGTGTCTCAACTCTTTGAAAACGAACAGTCGTTTATTAGACTATAGTATTACTATTACGAAACACTCCATATCACTTATAAAAGCACATAACGAAAATTGATGATAGGATTGTTTGGATTTAACGAAGAACAACTTAAGAAACATAAAAGGAATTCGTAAAGGATGTGCTGAGTTAAACTATCACTTAAATTGATTATAAATTTTCTCTGATGTGTTCTTGCAAAGTGAAAAAAAGACGGCGAATCATGAGCTAAGAAGATACTCTGCATTGAGTTATGATCGAATAAAACTCTAAGGTGTTATAAATACGACAAACGGAGAAAAACTAAAATAGCTGAAGTACTATTATTTATTGATTTAGAAATTTACTTTAAGCCCGGAAATTAACATTATTAATAGATTATTTTTATAGACAAATAGTGCAAGTACTGCGACCTGAAAGATCTTTTGTGCAACCATGCCTTATAGATATATCACTAAATAGTAAAAGATGGTCTTCCAAAAAGTAAAAGCAGATGGTAGATGGTATACAACTAGTCTATTCATTCGTGTTTTCCTAAACCGCATACTTTTTTATTAGTATTAGTTTTCATATGTAAATATCTTCATCAGATATAATATAACCTAAAATTAAGATGAAAATGCAAAAAAGAGAAATATGATATTATATAGTATTTCGTTAAGATTATAAATCATCATGTAATCTTAAACGACTCATAAAAATTTAATTTATTAAATCAATAATAATTTCATATAAAGATATTAATTTATTAAAAGAATTTTTCTAAGATTTTTATAATTTTTCTAATTATAATAAATATATTTATATAAGAAAGAAAATATAATATGAACTTACTTTTCACCGCTATCAAGTTGCGATTCCCCTTGTCCATCTGGTGAGCGACGCTTGCCTTCTGTTTTGTAATCGTCTGCACTTCCCGTACTTGGTTCTTCTGGAATTCCATCATGTCCTCTCTTCAGAGCAGCATTCACCATTTCACCAGCAGCCATCTTGTCAGCAATGTCCATTTCGAAATTCTGGAAATTTGCACTTTCACAGTCAACTTCAGGCATTACAGATATAGCACGTACACTAACCCTTTCGGCAGTATCAGCATTATCCATAAGTGTACTTGTTAAATGAGTTGCAGCAGTCACTTCCCCAACTACACCAGTACCACTCACCCCATTATTTACAACAGAAACGGTCGCCTCAATAGGTTGGGTATTTGCTTTTGGTGATTTTTGTGATACGCCTGTATTTTCTCCAGTCGAATTCTTATTCCCTTCTCCTTCTGCCGTACCAATACGAGAAACAGATGTCGCGCCACTCTTACCGGATCTATTTTCTACAACTGTTGCTACACTTAGTGTAGGCGAAGCAGCACTGTCTGACATTTTGCCCATATCAGTTTCAAAACTCTTCAAATCTGTTAAATTTTCATTAATCGTCTTGTGTATTTCATCTGTAGCAACAGTGACAGTCTTTTGTATATTTTCTAAAGTTTTTTGCGATTTCTCTATTATAGCAGCAGGCAAACTGCCATCTGTGGAAATAAGTTGTCCAGCGCTGGCTACTTTAGGTATTTTAGAGCCATTAGCTATAAGAAAAATATATATTAGTCTACTGTTCTTAAAAGAAGATTTTCAGGTATCTTTGGATGGGTGAAAGGTAACTTCAGTTAGTATATTGATTCTAAATAAAACATATACATAAAACTGAAACTATTATCTCGCCCAACTGTAAACTTACACTTTTCATCGGTTTCGGAAACTGACTCTTCAGTTATCTTTCTAGTAATACTACTTTCCGCACGTTTTTTGCTAAGCATACTAAGTGTGGAACCAATTCGCATAAGTGACATATTCGTTGGTTGACGTTTGATACCACTTGAACTTTTGGTAACTCCATCACCGCCAGTTACTCCACTAGTACCTGTTTTACTATTAACTGCATCACTTGCGTTGGCCATTTTTTTACCGACATTATTTTGATTGGTTGAAATATTAGCTGGGACCTTTTTACTTCCTTCTTTCACTTTACTACCTTCTTTAGTATCTGTAGATTTTTTGGGTAACTTAGAAGAGTCCTTGGATTGTTTGGTTTGTTTCAAATCCAAGTTAGTTTTTCGCAAGCTCATTCCAGTAGGTTCTCGTTTCATATTTTTCATTTCACTAATTTTTTGATTATTTTTCTGTAAATTTGAATGTTCTCGCTTAAGGTTAATCCCAGTCTTTTTTGAATTATTTGGTTGTTTGTTAGCTGCCGCCGTCTTCTTATTGGTAGACGTAGACGTTCGTTTGACACTTGACACAGACTTTTGCACAGAATTGGGTGCTTTGTTGGCACTTGCGGATTGAAAAGATGAATTTGTGTTACTCCTTCTCGGTGAAGATTTTACAATTGGGGAAGTCTTACGAGGTGACTTCGACAAGTCTACGGCACTTTTAGTGCGCATTGGAATACGAGAGACAGAAGTTTTTCTTTGTAGTTGAAGCTTTTTCTTGGTATCTTTACTGCGTCCACGGTTAGAACTACGAAATTTATTAGTTGGACTTATGGATAGTCGTCGTGCAAGCACATGCTTACGATTAGATTGTGGAGAAAGCGATATAGATTTTCTACGGGTGTTGCTTTCATCTTTCATATAGCCCATATTAGGTGAAAATCGACTTGTATGTGTTGTAGAGCTAACACTTAAACGTGAATTCGAACGAGAGTTTGCCAAATCTTTTGCTTGCTCCATACGAGAGTTTGGTCGAGAAGCAGCTCGAGATGTTGGACGAGAAGCTGATCGGGATGTTGAACGAGAAGCTGCTCGAGATGTTGGACGAGATGTGGTACGAGAGATCGGCCTAGTAGAGGCACGTGAAGTAGAACGTGAAGGTGCGCGTGAATTTGGTTGCGATTGTGTATGTAGAGTACTTCTTGAAGATGTTCGGCTAGGCATACCATGCATTGTCAAATTGGTCTGTGGTTGTTGGGAAGAAAACTTTTTCATTGGTGAATTAGAGCGCGAATGCACTCGTGATTCTGGCCGTGAATCCGAATGCATTTGTTTTGATTCCATATACATGTTATTGTTTCCTGCACGAATAGGTATTTTGGAAAGAGAGTTTCGGCGTGATGCATCAGATGCGGTTCCTGAATTTATAAGAATGTTGGCAGCAGTATGCATCGGACTTTGATTAGAGCTACTGTCTTTATTTGGTGTGCCAATAATGGGTGATAACGTTGTTGGCTTGGAAATTTTTGCTCGTGGTGTAAGAGTACCAGTGGTGAACTTGTAGGGAGGTGCTAGAGACGGTCTTCGTGTCTTTAAGTTGCTGCGTGATATGTTAATTGTTTTTGGCGCATTTGATGTTGGTGGCTGTCGATTTGAAAACGATGGTCTACGAAAACTGAAGTCAGATGTTGTCACAGTGCTTAAATTGGAACTACGTCTATCGGAGGCAGTCAGAGTAGAACTGCGTCTTTCGGGAGACGTTGAGCTGGAACGACGACGAAGTGGTAAGTTTAATGGTTTTAGTGATGGTTTACGTTTTCTATGCATTGCTAAGTCATCCATACTACTCCAGTTCGATGGTAAAGGTATACGGGACATATTATCATCATTATTTATTATGCGCAACAAGCCTCGTTGCAAACGAGTGGGATTTGGATTTGGTTTCAGTGGTCGAGGTAAGGCACCGGGTGGTATTACAGCAACTTCTGGACCTAAAGCTGAACTAGAACTATTCAATCGTGGTATAGACGTACGGTATGGATCTGTTATAAGTGGTAATGTTTCATATTTTTTTTTTCTCATATCATCAGATATCGGTATGGAGGCACGACGAGTTGGTATTGCTAGTGGCAGTGTATCAGTGGAAGTTATTGATTCTCTTTGTTGGAGTATGCTTTTCTGTGGCATTTTAGTTGGACTATAACGACCAGACATGTCAAATTGCACAGATGGGCGCGGCGAGTCATCAGATGTCAATAGGTTGGTTTTTGATAGGTGTGGCAGTTTAAGCTGCGTTGACGTTAGTGATTTCTGTTGTAAATAATATTGTGATTTCGCTGTAGGTTTCGAAGATGACGAGGAAGTAGTTGTGATCTCTTTGTGTTTATGCATACTTTTGGGAAGTTGTTTTGTACTGTGTGTGGGAGATTTTTGTATGTGTGAAAGTGGACTCTGCTTTCCTGATGATTGGGGCGACTTCTCAGAGATTATAGTAAATGAAGTACGTTTATGCAATCTAGCTTGTTCAACTCTGAAAGAAAAAATGGTTAACACTAAGAAAGTAGATAAATAGTTAGTTAAAACAAGTTACTTATATTCGCTTCCAGTAGTTACAGAATCCTTAAATATAACTGGGGACATATCACCTTTTAATGTATAGGCATCATCTATTACTACGGTTTCATCAAGTTTTGGTGGAGGTGGTATAGGAGGAGGTGCTGCAGGTGGAGGAGGGGACTGAAAATTTGAGTCGAAACTATCCATTGAAATTTTTCGTGCCTGACTAAGATATTCTTCTGATGGTAGAGATATATTACTTTCCATTTCAAGCAAACAGCTCGGCGAAGGATCTGGTGGACGTAATGGTGCTAAAGAATGCAACGATACGGTTGGTGCTTCAAGCACTTGTGTGGTATCCAACACACGTTCCTCTCCGCTGCTAGAAGCATTTGAATCATTTATCATTGCAGCTACGGGAGAATCATGTAAAGGCATCTCTTCACGTTTTATAGACATGATATTTTTCGAACTTGGGCGTAATTTTGGCATTTTACTGAATTCAGGAAAGTCCTGTTGAGCAGGCCGAAACCACTCACTGCTAGAATATGATTCATTTGAAAATTGACGGTTGAAAGTAGCAGGCATCGCATTCCTAGATGTTTCCGGTATATTGTCACTAAAAATATGATATAGATTAAAATAATGAATGTATTAAAAAGAGATACGAGTATATGTTGTTACCTTAAAGAACCCACATTGGATTTAAAATCTGCTGAAAAATTAGAAACTCTGCGTGTTGCTTCTGTGTATTCACTAGTTTCATTCGCATTGCTAACGGTTATCGTTTCTATAAGCTCGGAGACATCTGTTGGTTCAGTTCCATCATATAAACTCTGCCGTCGAAATATATCTTCTGGAGTTAAAAGTGCATAATTTGGAGAGTTTTTCGTCTCTGAGCTTGAACCTCCACTTGAATTTGGCAGTATTTGTATGTCAGGTGGTTGTAAGCGCGGTAAACTATTAGGCAAAATATCAAAATTTTTGATTGGATTAGTTTTGGATAAGTGCCTAGAAAAGGTTGAATTGTATGGAATGTTTGGAAACAGGCGTGATTGAGTTGCATTTAAGGTGACGGTTTGTCCAAAAACGTCTTCTTCTGAACTTATATCAACTGAATTCGTTTGAAATATATTTCGTTCAAATGTTGTGCTCAGAAAATCTTGTGGAGCTGGCGGTGGTACCGGATCCCCAAAGAGACTATTGTATTGATTCTCCACATCCATGTCAAATTCATCGTGGTTAATTGGTCTTGCATGATAAGTGACATTATCTTGCCGTTTATGAGAAAGTGATGATGGTGACATAATTTTGTAATTGTAGTCAAGTGGTATTACAGCTGCAGTATAGAGTTTTGTTTTCCCAGAAGTAATATTTTCCTCCGCTGATATGGGTGAGGATGATGAAGATGATTTATTCATATTAACATTGGTGTGCTTTTATAATTGTTTTTCATAAAAATTAATCACTTATGTCAATTACTAATTGGAAGAACAGAAGGTGGAAGAGCACCGAAATACAATGGATTAACTGAAAGTGTAGTAAAAAAGAGAAACTATTAATTAAATCCTTAAGTATATATATTATATTAAGAGTACCTAATCATAAGCATAATCTTATTAGTTATTCTGTAGATGTTCTGTAGATATTGGAGAGTTTTAAATATACTTTAGTCGGCTTAGTGGTGTCATAAGTGAAGTTTATTCGTAGAAGACATGAACTTCGTTTTATAATCCCAATATTTAATTAGTTTCTGCTTTCGGTTGAAAAAGAAGTCAGATTTTTAGAAATATATATACAATGCTAAGGGTTCCATCATACTTATTTTGTGAAAGATTGCAGCTTAAACATTTTGTGCGATCTTATCTACCATTTGTATAAAGAATGCTCTGAAAATTTAAATATATATATGTATATAAGATTATATTTAGAAGATTTAGTATATATTATTTTCAGAATCTATCAACAAAATAATGGTAAATAAACTTAAATTAAAATAAATTTTATTTAAATTTAAATAAACCGTTTGTTAGTACATAGAGTTGTTTAATTATGTCAATAATATGTCAATATTATGTCAATAATATTGATAAATTAATGCCCGGAGAAGTTTAGCAATTTTTTAGAGGTATAGCACGAAGTCTTATAAGTCACAGTGCCGTACCGTTTCATCTAATAATAATTTCTATGTATGACGTATGTCCATTAAAGATAATTTAAGGAAAATACAAAATATCTATAAATGCATGAAGTGCTTTAACTGTTTTTATAACTTATTCTTAAATTAAAAAAAATATGAATATAGTGCTGTAATCATTTTAAAATTAATGTAGGAATAGAAACCCTATACTCTGTTGCAAAGAGAAGTTAACTATTTTCATGGCCAATGTTTAGGCCAAATTATTAGGCATGCAAAGTCTGTAGACTTAAAAATATTTTATTTTCAATTTATATTAGTTGAGATGTTTAAATAAGATTTGTATAAAGTTATTCGCTATGGTAGGTTGCATGCTATGGAAGCGGGAATGCAATTGTGTTCCACTTCAGTACCTGTAATTCAGTGGTTCTTTCAAGCCGCTTTAAACAGCATTAAAGAGAGCATATCAAAAGCCATAAACTGTAGACAGCGCACATGTTTTGGAAGTATTCGATATAGCAATTAAGTACATGTACTTAACTGAAGAAGGTAGTATTTGGTATAAGATAACAACTGCATATTTTACCTTTTATAATATTATGTAAAATAAAAATATATCTAACAGATAAATTTTTTAAAATATTCCTAAACATTATACTTTTAGAGTACGTGTAATATAGTACTCTATAGAGTGTAGAGTAAGAGTAATAAGTTTTTACACATGTCGATTATGTTTTATATCAACATTATACTAAGATAATCCAAAGTATATTTATGCTGAAAGCTTTACTCCCTTCTATGTCGAATCACCATTGCGTTAAGATCATCTGTATCTTATACTATATATATTTCACTCAATTTATTTTATTTCTCATAGTTACCTTCTGTTTTTAATTTAATTTTATTTCAATGAATTTATTCCTTTACTTATTTAAAGATTTTTAGTGATTACAAATGAAATGAAAGCATACAATATGTGATTGAGTTTAATTACGAATTTAAAATAATTAAAAACTTTCACTTTTGTTAAAAAAATGTATGTACTATAAATGTTTTTACATTTCAATGTTAAAAAATAATTCTGTAATTAGAGTTTATTTACCTCATACGCACTTGGGTATGAAAGTAATTTTCAACTTACTCTCCATGTAAGCATCGCATTGAAATTAATATATTTAATGAGGCATCAATAGAGATTGTTGCTAATAATCCTTTTATTAATTGTTTAATAAGATTGGAGTGTTTTATTGGTTTAGATCCGGTTAAAAACGTGCGGTACCGCAATTCTACCGCTTGAGTGATTTTGAAATACATTGAATTATATGAACCTATGGCTTTGTGAAGAATTTCACTCATTTTTCAACAATCAATCTGCAGAGTGATGGCACTGAGAGTAATTTGTCGATATTGTGCACCTAGCCTTTACATAAATTATATTATCTTGCGCACTGCACCCTAACCACCGACGACGCTGCGTGCAAACTATCGCTATTCCGATTAACTTCCTTACAAAAAATCGGGCAAAAACCTAACGAAATCCTGAGAACTACATTCAAAAGGCTTTAACTTCTCGTCAAATTTCGCATAAACTATAGACTTACTCACAAAAATCTGTCGTATATGGGATAGTTATAATAATGTGAAAGTAACCCAAATAGAAAATTTCACGAAAATTTTGAATATGCTAATATGCTATATATTAGCATAAAAACTATAAATAATAAAGTGTAAGTAACGCATATTTAAAATCGCGAGAAAATTTCAATAATTATATATATATCCGCTTAAAAAAGCTATTGTATAGGTGAAAAGTTGCGAACAATTTGAATACGGTACGGATATTCTCACAATAAAACTTATGTAGTAGTGCTAATAAGTAAATTCGATAGAAATTTGATAAATATCGTTTTCCTATCGAGGTCCATCCAATGTTATCAAATTTCTATTTTTTGTGTTAATTTCTCTCACGGAAATAGTATCACCTTCATTAGACAAATTATAAGAAAAGCGAATTATTGCTTATAAATAATATTATATTTCAAATCAGAAAGAATTGAGGATTTATGAAACTAAAAATTCCAGCTTAAATAAATAAATTTTTCGATAGAGGCACATCTGTTTCGAAAGTTCCTTCAAATCGACTGTTACTGTTACGTTTGAATATTTATTTATTTTAAATATTTTGTATATAATTTTTTTGATTCCAAGATGTGGTACATAAATTCTCTCAAATTTGAAACACATCCACATATATTAGACCAAGGAACAAACTCTGCAATTATATTGTTCTGACCGAGCTTAACCTTTTGTTTAATATGTGCCTATATCAATTAACTGATATCAATTATATATTAATTATAACGGAATACAAATAACGAAAGACAAAATTACTCGTGTGAACACGAATAATGCAAATCATAGTTTCATAAGTAACCAATACCAACTTTTACTTTCAACAGCACTAAAATTTACTCTGATGCCCATAAACTTTAACATATCACAAAAAAATATAAATAAATACTCTTAAATCAACTTAAACACACGCACACTATTAAATTACAATAGAAAAAAATGAAAAACCAAATAAAAAGAGAAAGGAAAAGAAAAAGAAAAAGGAAATAATAAAAAGACGAAAAAAATACACACGGAAGAGCGCAAAACATTTTCCGGTTAACTTTTTGTTCACATTGTTTGGCATTTACTTTTCCCTAAGCGTTTGAGGCTCTCACGCTAAAGTACATTGATTTTCTTTTGTTTGTTCCACTGTGCTTAAATAGTTTCACTACTTTCATATCGCTAATATTTAGCCTACTTTCAGGCGTTTATCGTAGACGAAAACTTGTTTAGAACAGAAGCACAATAAGAAAATTGGCACTTGAATGCCGGCTGGAGGTACTTTGTATACGTAAACTCTACTGGCAGCTCAATTTAAGGGCTAAGCACATGTACTAAATATAGATTTGACCGCTTTTCTATTGATTTTGATTGTTAGTTTTTGACTACGAAGAACCTTGGCGCTATCGTTACTCTGAAGTCAACAATTTTGTCGCATAAAGTTTAGTAAATTAATTGCTTTAATCTTGAATGTGGCTTTCTTGTAGATGCGAAAGATAAGCGATTTGGGTCAAACTATTTACTTACACTGAATACAATAAATCTGCAATAAATGAGGCTAAGGTCTATACAAATAACAGCGCACAATTATAAAGAAATTAATAATAAAAATTCTTACTAAGATGAGATTATGAAGGATTGACGGTATGCAAATAGAAGCAGAAATTGATATGCAACAACTAATATTAAACAGGAAATATCTTATTATTAAATGTCTACCCTATTACCGTAGCGCCTACCGGTCACTGGTGGATAGGAACCCATGTAGAGAAACTGCACACGTTCATTGCAGGAGTTGTGGAAATTTACAAGAAAAAGAAATTAATAAGTTTTTTTTACTACGACTCTAGCCGCCAGAAGAAACAGATTTTTAGTGAAGTATTTTTTTTTGACAATTTGTCAGACTGTTCAACAACACGGAAGGAAGGTATATTAAATTATCTAAATTCGATGGGATGAATTTGGCTTTTAACTGTTGTGTATTGAGGATTCTTGCGAAAAATGTGATAACAAAGCTGCGAAAAGTCGCTAACTGAGGTTAGGAAAAAGCAACCAATTAACCATTCCACTAAAATCAACCAACCTCTTTCAGTAGTAAAAGACCAACATAAAAAGAAAAATTATAGAATATATTCCTGTAATTAATAATGAGAAGAGGGCACTATAAACCCGATTGTCGCATTGTTATATTTCCTCTTAATTATAAATGATATAACCTCTTTCAAGAGCAAAGGACTGGAATAAAAAATAGAATTATAGAACATATTTCTTTCGTTGCAGACCGGAACACCAAATTTGAGAGATAAATATATTTCATTTATAAGGAATATCTTTAAAGGGTTGTTTATATAGCAAATCCATTCCCAAACGTATTTACTGACATATCAGGAACGAACTTTTTCATTACGCTTACTATAAACTATATAGGGTAAAAGATTATTTACACTTATGAAAATATCTGCTGCACTGCTTTAACTTCGCTTGAGATACGTATTTATTGATATTAACTTTTAAAAATGTGATCTTTCTACTTTGAAGTCGTTATAACGTGGGATGTTCTTTAATTAAATATAATATCTCTTCGGTATAAAATTGTACAGCAATATAAATCTACATATGAGATTTAACGCACTGATAAATGTACAAGTGCGTTTTATTAATTGTGCTTAT